GGGAATGTGGGATAGCTGACCACAGTGCACCGCTTCGAATGTCGACGCTATCACCGTTAGTGTGGACGCACAAAGTCGAATTACTGTCCTTAGTGTGGACACACACGTTCGACTTTGCAATATCGATTACAAAAATTCGATGCAAGTAAAATCGAACTACTCTCGTAGTGTAGACAAGGCCTTAGGACACCTGCCAACAAGGGATTTGAGCCACTCTGAGTGGATGTTCCAATACCAGTAACTACATCTCATTTCCTTTCTGTTCATGGGCAAGACTGGAAGCTCCTCACAGCTACTGCTGCTGCTTGTTTCAATTACGTGCTGGTTACCACTATGTTTCTGTCATATAAAGTGGCATAGCGTATATACTCTTCAATATCAGTCTGCCATGTGGATATCATTCTGTGGATTTATTGCTGTTTTCTGACATTGATAACTTCAGAATCTCAAATTTAGCAGGGTTCAGCTGTGTGCTGCAATTTTAACAAACTAAAAGTCAGTCGGACAGTATCTAAAGAAAAAAGTGTAATATATATTATTGATATTTTAAAGTTAGTTACGTTTGGCATTAGATTTGCTGCCAAAGGAAAGTGGTTTGAGTAGCAGTTATTCAAAGAAGTGGCAAAACCAGCAATTATGTCTTCAAGGTGCTTAGCACAACAGATCCCAATTGGGGCTAGTTGCTACTAGAGTATAAATATTAAATGTGAATAAATATCTGTTTCCTTACTCCCTGAGCTGGGATCACAGCACAATTAGCATGCTCAGCCCAGGGGAATGGGAGAGACAAGTTGAAACTATATTTATATTACTCTTCAGTGCCCTCCTTTGATTGGCACATGGAGTAACACTGCTAGCTCCAGTGTATCCGGCAGGGTAGTTGTAAGGCACCTGAGTGTTGTGGGGGCATGAAGAGAATCATAGAATTGTAGGATTGGAAGGGAGCTCAAGAGGTCTTCTAGTTCAGTTCCCTGCACTCAGGCAGGACTAAGTATTATCTAGACCATCTGTGACAGGTGTTTGTCTAACCTGCTCTTAAAAATCTCTACTAACAGAGATGCAACAGCCTCCCTAAGCAATTTATTCTAGTGCTTAACCACCCTGATAGATAGGAAGTTTTTCCTAATGTTCAACCTAAACCACCCATTGTTTCTTGTCCTATCCTCAGAAGTTAGAGAACAATTTTTCTCCCTCCTCTTTGTAACAACCTTTTATGTACTTGAAAGCTTATCATTTTCCATTTTGTATGTGTGCAACTGATTGTTCCTTCCTAAGTAGAGTACTTTGCATTTGTCCTTATTGAATTTCATTCAGACCATTTCTCTAGTTTGTCCAGATCATTTTGAATTTTAATCCTATCCCCCAAAGCACTTGGTATCATCCACAAACTAATCCTATCCCGCCCAGCTTGGTATCAATGACAAACTTTATAAGTGTAGTCGCTGTGCGATTATCTAAATCATTGATGAAGATATTGAACAGACTTGATCCCTGCAGGACCCCACTTGATATGCTCTTCCAGCTTGACTGTGAACCACTGATAACTTTTCTCTGGCAAGGGTTTGCCAACCAATTATGCACCCACCTTATAGTAGCTCCATCTAGGTTGTATTTCCCTAGTTTGTTTATGACAAAGTCATGAGAGACAGTATTAAAAGCCTTACTAAAATCATGATATACCACATCTACCACTTCCCCCTTATCCACAAGACTTGTTATCTTGTCAAAGAAAGCCATTAGGTTGGTTTGATACGATTTGTTCTTGACAAATCCATGGTGACTGTTACTTATCACTTTATTAACTTCTAGGTGTTTGCAATTTGATTGCTTAATTATTTGCTCCATTATCTTTCCAGGTATTGAAGTTAAGCTGACTGGTATGTAATTCCTCAGAATGGCCTTATTCCCCTTTTATAGATTGGCACTATATTTGCCCTTTTTCAGTCCTCTGGAATCTCTCTCATCTTCCATGTCTTTTCAAAGATAATTGCTAATGGCTCAGATATCTCCTCAGTCAGCTCCTTGAGTATTCTAGGATGTATTTTGTCAGGCCCTAGTGACTTGAAGACATCTAACTTGTCTAAGTAATATTAACTTGTTCTTTTCCTATTTTATCCTCTGATCCTACTTCATTTTCACTGGCATTCATTAAGTTAGATGTCCAATTGCTACTAAACTTTTTGCTAAAAACTGAAACAAAAAAGTCAGTCAGCACTTCTGCCATTTCCACATTTTCTGTTATTGTTTTTTCTCCCTCATTGAGTAAAGGGTGTCCCCTGTCCTTGGTCTTCCTCGTCCTTTTAATGTATTTGTAGAATGTTTTTTTGTTACCCTTTATGTCTCTATCTAGTTTGATCTCACTTTGTGCCTTGGCCTTTCTATTTTTGTCTCTGCATACTTGTGTTATTTGTTTATATTCATCCTTTGTAATTTGACTTAGTTTCTACTTTTTGTGGGACTCTTTTTCGAGTTTCAGATCATTGAAGACCTCCTGGTCAACCCAGGGTGGTCTCTTGCCATACTTCCTATCTTTCCTGTGCAGTGGGATAGTTTGCTCTTGTGCCCTTAATAATGTGTCTTTGAAAAACTGCCAACTCTCTTGAACTATTTTTGCCATTAGACTTGTTTCCCATAGAAGGAACCATGCCTGGGGGAAATCCCTACAACAAGAAAATAGCCTGATAAAACTATCTTTGGGGCATTTGAAATTCCCTTTGAAGGTCTACTCATACAAAATGTTTCAACAAAGTAATAGAAGATTTCTGAACACTGTAATATTCATGGTTTTACAGAAAACACTAATAATTGAGCTGGGCCTCTTAGGTCCACTGAATCTGTATCAGACTTAATATTAGAGAGTCAGTAAGATAGGAAGTGTTCTAGTTGGCTCAGTGATCCAAAGGTAAATGTAGGTGTAAATGCAGACTGCACTGCCTCAGCAAATCATTCTTTCTCATGACATATACAGCAGTACATTCTCATGGAAACAAGCCTGGGGAAAAAGGACTACAATGATGGATTATTTAACAGATCTTCTTAAAATCCTAACTTTGCACCAAAGCTACATTTTAAGAAGCAGGAGTTGGACTCCTTCCTAAATTTAGTTTGACTTCTGAGCGGTACTCTAAAATATTTAAAGTTATCTTTTCAATTAAGAATTTTGCTTCTTAATTTTCAATATTAAGGGTTTGGGTTTTTTTAAATGCACTATAGTTGAAGAGGGCATTCTGTTACAGATGTCAACCCTTCTCACCACACTACTTTCAAAGCCTCTCATTTATGTTCTGGGCATCTAAAATATTGTCATTGGTTGCAGGGGCATGCACAAGGGGGAACAAGCAGGGGCACAGGCCCCCCAATAATTGTCAAGGGCTCGGAACTTCTCTGACTCTGGGGCTGCAGAGGCAGGAAAGAGCGATTTCCTTCCTAGGGGGAGGGAGATAGAGTGAGTTCCTACTGGGGTTGTGAGGAGGGAAGAGCAAGCTCCTGCCAGGGAAGGGGAAAGAGAAAGCTCTTGTCGGGGTCAGGGTGGTGGGGAGCAGCAAGCTCCTTGGGGGGTGGGGGGGAACACACATATTTTAACCCATTTACACCAACGGAGGATCTGGTTCTGTATCAGTAAGGATGTACAATCATCACACAACCCAGTGCTTTAAGAATTTGGAATTATGTGGACTCTTAATTAAATGAAAATGTTAAATGAAACTCTTCCCTATTATGGTTTTTATTTGTTGTTAACTATGTGTCTTTAAAGTTTTGTTTTCTGTTTTGTTTTCTCTTTGACAGCTCCTTCAGGCTGGAAGGAATATCTACATTTGGAGGCATATCAGTTATTTCTTTGATGTCGGATTCGTCATTGTGACTTCTTGCAGGCCAGATCTGATGAAAGTAATGAGGAACCTGACCCTCCTTGGAGCATGGAAGCCCTTAGAGTCAGAGCACAACTAATCACTGGTGTAATCTGCATGAAATCATCTGCCTCAGATCTGACAGCTACGAGCTGAGCCCTGACAAAAGCCACAGCCTTAAATTCTGTTCACTCAGAAAGAAGAATAAAGAGGACTAAATACCTTGCCCCATGACAGAAACAACTGTCTCCAAGCCTGACACTTGAGAAGTTCAGTACTGAGCAATTAGAGTAACAAACAATAAATCAATTTTTCATGCGGTCCAGCCAGCATCCAAAAATATTTAAATATGTAGCCAAAAGGAAACATGAAGCACTTAAGTGATTGCAGGAAAAGCAATGCATGTACTACAACAGAGGAATATTGCTTTTTGTGGGGAAAGAAGACCTCTGCCATCCCTTGTACATATTCAAAGCCATAGAAGAACGGAGCTCCAGTGATGCTAAAATGTTTGAAAGAATGTTGTCTCCTGTTCTCCACCCAAATCTGAAGGAAAAAATTAGCTGTTACAGATTGCATCTCAATGCACTTCTAATATTTGCACTGTCACTTCCATTCAGGGTAATGATGTGTGCCATCATTTGCACAGATGGCCCCATGAGATTTTAGACCGCAACAAGCTGTATCTTGCAGGGGCTCCAAAAGGAATTAAAAAGTAAAAAGCTGAAGAAAAGGAATGCTCTCTTACAGTGAGAATTTCTCCCCACAGGAAAATAGTCCTTCTTAAGATTAAAAAAAATATGTATATGAGAAAAGCATCAACGTGATAAAGTGGATTTAAAAAGGGATCTAAAATTTTTTTAATGAAATTCATTTTATATCATAGTAACAGCCAAGAGATTGAACTATACACCCAGAATGTTCCTGTTGGACATTGACAGTATCCTCCTAGAAAATATTAAAGAAAAAAGTCATTTGTAATATGTATTTGACATATAATAATTTTTATAGCCATTTATCTATGCTTCATGAAGAAATGTAAAAGACAAACAGCATTTTCAGTTTATTTTTCTAAATAAATGTGTTGTTTGTATTATTTGCAGTCACTTATTTTAGATGGTTTTCATTACCCCAAAAAAGGATTTAAAGATGGAACCAAAACATAGCAACTGTTTTGCCATGTTAAATCGTAACGATTTGCAGACTGAAAGCTTTAATATAAATATTATAATTTGTAAAATTATAAAGTATATTTATACTGCAAATATGTATGGAAAACAAGAAGAGGAGGTATTTTAACTCTTAGTTTCAGTACATAGGTTATTTTGATAGTCACATGAACGAATGTGAAGTTATATAATTGGTACAGGTTTTTTTCTGTAATAATATGTTGTAGCAAATGAAGATTCAGCTGCCTAGGAATTCAGAGAATAATTCTAATGTTCATGATTTTCCAAAATTACACACACTCCCCTTGTCAAGTGATTCACTTCATCCAGGAACCACTTTTTTCATACTGTAACATACTCACAAGGCCATTAAAGATGCCGCTATTTGGTCAAGAGGAATTTGGAAACCTAAGGGGTAAGAGAGATTGATCATTACAATCATCCACAGATTTTCATTTAGGAACAGTCATTGTATCTGTCTAATGGAGTATTTTGTTATCAAGTCATTGAACACATTGATTCTAGAGCTGTTTTGAATAAAAATATATATTTTCCTTTTTTTCATTATCCTCTAGCCTGTGTGTAATTTTAAGAGAAAAAGCAAAGCATGTGATATCAATTCTCTTACTTTAACCATCAGCTTTAATCTAAACAGGCTTTTCTTTATTCCCTTTGCTCTTGAGGAACATACTAATTAAGTGTTCAGTAGGGGAAAAGTGTTCTTTCAAAAATGATCTCCTCTAATATATAGTTGAATTTGAAATGGGTAAATAACTTAGTACTCGTGCTCTATTCTAACGTACTAACAAACGTGTATATGCTTCACCCCTTCTTATGGATGAAATGACAGAACTGCTGAAGTGTGTGCTTGAACCCCTGTTACTGCTATAGATGATAAAGTACCTGGGCTTTGGGAGAAGACAGATCTGAGTTCTGTCTCACTTAAAACTGTGAAGCCATGGGTAGCCACAGTTGGTGATTGAATGATTCATTGCAAAAAAAAATCAAATCAATTTTAGCCCTATTTGATAGTATCTGTGATATTTATGAATGTGTTAGTTATTTGTCATTACTGAAAAGTGGCCTGATCCTGTGACCTGGGGAAGGCCCCCCATCTCCACCGGTGTCAACAAGAGATGAGATCTCTGAGCACAGCTGAGTCACGACCTTAGTTCACACATACAATTTTAGCTGAAGGTTGACTCATAGACAAGTTGCTATGAATATTCACAGATTTGTCATTTGCACTGTAGAGCCGGTCACCTAAGTCACAGATACTCACAGACTTTTAAGGCCAGACGGGACCATCATGATCATCTAGTCCAGGGGTGGGCAAACTATGGCCCGTGGACCGGATCTGGCCCATCAGGACTTTGGATCCAGCCATGGGATTGCCACCCCCGTGGCTCCAAGAGGCTAAGGCAGGCTCCTTGCCTACCCTGGCCCCATGCCGCTCCCAGAAGCGGCTGGCACCACGTCCCTGTGACCCCTGAGGGATAGCGGGAGCAGAGGGCTGCGCGCGCTGCGCTGACCTGCGGGTACTTCCCCCGAAGCTTCCATTGGCCGCGGTCTCCCGTTCCCGGACAGTGGGAGCTGCGGTGATCCACAGCCAATGGGAGCTTCGGGGGAGATACCCGTGGGGGAGGGCAGCACACGGAGCCCTCTGCCCCAGGGGCCAGAGGGATGTGGTGCCGGCCACTTCCGGGAGCAGCAAGGGGCCAGGGCAGGCAGGGAGCCTGCCTTAGCCCTGCTGCGTGCCACTGCCACCCCAGAGCTGCTCAAGGTAAGTGGCGCCGGGCTGGAGCCTGCACTCCAAACCCCTCCTGCACCCCAATCCCTTGCCCTAAGCTCTCTGCCATACCCCTCTTGCACCACAACCCCCTCCCCTGAGCCCCTGCCGCACCCCGCAGCCTTCCTGCACCCCAAGCCCCTGTCCTGAGTCCTGCCGCACCCCTCCTGCACCCCAACCCCTTGCCCTGAGCCCCCTGCTGCACGCCGCACCTCTTCTGCACCCTAACCCCCTGCCTTGATCCCCCTCCCGCACCCCAACCCTCTGCCCCCGAGCCCCCTTGTACATCCCGCACCCCTCCTGCACCCCAACCCCTTGACAGGACCCCCTTCCTGCACACTGCACCCCCTCCCACACCCCACACCCCAACCCCTTCCCCCAGCCCTACATTTATGGCCCTGCATGCAATTTCCCCATTTAGATGTGCCCCTCGGGCCAAAAAGTTTGCCCACCCCGATCTAGTCTGACCTCCTGCACTTTTTAGGCCACAGAATCTCACCCACCCACTCCTGTAATAGATCGCTTACCTCTGGCTGAGTCAATGAAGTCCTGAAATCATGATTTAAAGACTTCAAGATACAGAGAATTTACCATTTACGCTAGTTTAAACCTGCAAGTGACCCGTGCCCCATACTGCAGAGCAAAGCAAAAAAACCCCAGGGCCTCTGCAGTCTGACCCAGAGGAAAATTCCTTCCCAATCCCAAATATGGTGATCAGTTAGATTCTGAGTATGTGGACAAGACCCACCAGCCAGACACCCAAGAAAGAATTCTCTGTAATAAATCAGAGCCCCATGTACTGTCCCATAACCAGCTATGGGAGATATTTCCTGCTAGCAGTCACAGATCAGCTACATGCCATTGTAGGCAATCTTATCATACCATCCCCTCCATAAACCTATCAAGCTCAGTCTTGAAGTCAGTTAGGTTTTTTGCCTCCACTGTCCCCTTGGAAGGCTGTTCCAAAACTTCACTCCGCTGATCATTAGAAGCAGTTGTCTAATTTCAAGCCTAAACTCATTGATGACCAATTTATATCCATTTGTTCTGGTGTCCACATTGGTGCTTAACTTAAATAACTCCTCTCCCTCTCTGGTATTTATCCCTCTGATGTATTTATAGAGAGCAATCATATCTTCCCTCAGCCTTCTTCTGGTTAGGCTCAACAAACCAAGCTCTTTGAGTCCTTTATTTTGTTTGTTACCCCATTGGATGACCTGAGTTTTATAAATAGAGGATCCTCATTTTGTTTGCAAATTATCTACATCCATAATTGTTTAATTAAACTACTGTATTATGCTAATAATAACAGTATTTCAAAATAGTCATGAAAGAATTTCTGGTGTGAATATTCTCACAATCATATTTGCAGCAGTGTTTATGACATTTTTGCTTTCTGCAAACATTCTTATGAATAAACACTTGTTCACCAGAATGTCTGCAAATAAAGGAGAAAAATGCAACTTAAATTGCCTGAATTAATATTTACAAATATGTTTTCTTCTTTACTTGCCCAACTCTAGAGAAAACTGTATGATATTTTTAATATGCTAACTGCACCTATCTATTACTCTAGGCACACATACAGTTTTATATGGACAAATACAGTAGAGTAGGAAGTCCTGGGTGCCAGCAGAGCTGTTATTCTATGTTAATAATGCATAAATAATAAAAATAATAGAACGCTTTAGCCTGAATTACAAGAAACAGTTTGTGTGTCATCAGGAAGATGATGTAACAAAAGAGATTATGGTTCTCAGCAACAAATACTGTTGTTTACAGCTCTTTATTAGTAGAGGTTTTGCATATTTCAGAAGATGCGGAAACAGATATTACTCACCACCTTTCAAAATAAAGGTCAGTGCACATAGAAGTGACCAAATTCTGCTGTCCATGGCATTGGGATAAACCCACAACTTCTGTAGACTTACTCCTGTATAGATGGGTGTAACTGATAGCAGAATTTAATAAACCATATATACTGGTTCGGCTACCAGAATGCACACCAAAAAAACCCATAATAGACAATACCATTAAACTGCTGTGTAGAAACAACTAATAAAAGCCCAGTAATACAGTTAATTGCAGTGATTTAGATTTATTTGCTGTTTTTGTGTGGTCCAGCTATTCCCTTGAGCTAACAGTTCAAAATAGAAAGGTCAATATGTTACTGGAATTGGAGCCATCTCTAGGCAAATAATTAGTTCTGAAAGTCTTTTATTTAAGTCAGTTTGCAAGGCTCACTTTTAGACTTGGTAACCTCTTGCAGTTCTTTGTACGTATATGTGTATATTTATATAACATATTTTTTAGCAAGTTCTTAATTAGTGGAATGTTGTAGAATGTTGGGGCACGCAAAGAGGTAAGAGTGGTTGAAACCCTTACATTTCCAAAAGGAAAAACTGCCGCAAACTACCCCTAATTCTGGAGATTTAGGCAGATACATATGATACAAAATGGTCCTTGTAGTCCAAATTTACAGAATTCATGTACATCAGGGGTCTCAAACATGTGGCCCGCGGAGTTATTTGCTGCGGCCCACCAATCTCCCCGTGCCCCCCCCCCATTCCTCTGAATTATTTCCTGTGGCTGCCAAGCTCCCCTCCCCTGCCGCTCCTTCCCCCCCCAGCACACCGCGTCCCTGCTCCTCTGCCTACCTCTAAGCACTTCCCGCTGCCAAACCGCTGTTTGGCGTTGCTTAGCACTTTCCAGGAGGCAGGGGGGGAGGAGCGGGGAGCCGTGCACTCAATGGAGGATACAGAGAAGAGGTGGGGCAGGGGCGGGGATTTGGGGAAGGGGATGGAATAGGGGCAGGGAGGGGGGCGGAGTTTGGGTGGGGACTTTGGGGAAGGGGTTGGAATGGGGACGGGGTGGGAAAAGGCGGGGCAGGGGCAGGGTCTCATGGAAGGGGTGGAGTGGGAGCAGGGGCAGGGTCAGTGATGCAGCCCTCAGGCCAATGTACTAGTCCTCATGTGGCCCTGCTGGTGAGTTGAGTTTGAGATCCCTGATGTACATCCTCTTGGTGTCTATAATGAACTATGCTGACTCAGCTGATTTGAGGAATTTGGGGTAGATTTTTAAATATATTTAAAACTTACCTAAAGATGCAGGTAGATGCCTAGAGTTTTTTTCAAACATGCCTAGGGCCCAGATTTGTAAAGGTAGTTAGGCATCGCTCCTCTCACTATTGAGAGGTCTAAGATGCACAAAATGGTGTCATGGTGTTCAGCATTGCAGCGCTACCTTTTAGACAAACTGCTGCCTTGTGGAATCCTCAGTCCTGAGCTGGGACCCCAGGCTCCCTATGCAATATGTGATTAGGCACCTAAGAAAGAGATTCACAAATACCAGGGAAACCACCTAAGCTAGCCAATAGGAAATGCCAGCGAGAGGATTGGGTACTAAGTCCCATCCCACAGAGGTAGTGAGAGGACCCGAGGGAAGTCCTTTCCTCCTCTCGGGATTTAATTATATATACAAAGTAGAACAGCTTCGACAGAAAGGATTCAGAGAGTGACCTACCCTAGAATACCCAACAGCCTTGGAGTTAGAGCACTCTATGGGACACGGGAGACCTAAGTTCAAGTCCCTGCTCCAAATCAGGCAGAGTGGGGATTTGAAAAGAGTTTCCCCAAGTGAGTGCCCTAACCATTGGACTGTTGGGTATTCTGGAGGACACACAGACAGACAAGCCCCGACCTGGAAAATTCCCAATCTGGTTACTCCTAGCTGTCCTTTATGTAAGGTACGGTTCGGTCAGTAGGCTCAGAGAATGCCT